GGAGTTTAAAAACCCTCCACCTCCACCACATCAGTCATTAAACCTCAGTCTGTGTCCAACTTTGCTTCTCACTCTCCTGAGTTGTGTGGTCCACCCCAGCACCTCTGGTGCCACTAATGAGCCAGAACAACCTTTTCCTGGCCACCACAGCCACCATCAATGGCTTTGACACCTCCTTGCTCCTGTCCCCCAAAGGCACCGTTTCCTACAACAGCCCCGAAAGGACGGCAACATCCTCATGGAGTATGGTAACATAGTCCTGAAAAGCCTCTAATTAACCCTTATTATATAATTCACGGCTTCATTCTGGCAGCTCCTGCCACAAAGAGCTCAACAGACAGTGTCAAAAATACCAATTATCTCCCTGGCTGCCACTTGAGAAGCAGAGAAAAAGAGGAACAGGTGTCAAGAGCAGGAAATCTTGTGGATGATGGTGACAAAAGATAGCAAATGTATGGCAGAGAAACAAAGGTGAAAGCTCTCTCCCCACCTTATTGTGAAGGGATGAGAAGCTGAGATCTCATGTCTCCTGGCCCAATGCTCAATTTGAACAAACCCCAGAATGAAGCACCTTTTCCTCCAAACAAGCAGGTATCATGACACTTCCTTCACCTGAAGGCACTCATACACGACAAGTACAGCCACTTCAAACTTTATGGATTTAGCCTGCACTTCCTTGTCCTGATGAATCTGCCCTATAACACAGTTTGGCTTGACTTGGCCATTTTTGTCAGCTGCATCACCATCCTGCAGCTCAGAACCTTGGTCCAGCTGTGCTGGTTTTGGCTGTTAGGAATCCCCACTCACCATCTCTGGATGTTCAAGAAGGGAAAGAACAGAGTAGAAAGACAGAGAAGAGTAGAAAGAAATCCCTAGGCCCATGTAAGCTGGACACAGCAAGCAGCTGGGACAGGCTTGTGCCTATTTGCTCACAAGTCTGAGGGCAAGTCCGGCTCTTTCTCATGTTCCTTTCCTTACTGTTCTTCTCCCTCCTTCAGCCACTTCACCCCTTCACCTGTGGTCCTCATCTCCCCCCACTCTTTCTTCAAGTTCCATCTTATTATTCAGGTCCCGTTTGTCCCTCAATACTCATGGCAGAGCCTCCACTGTCTTTGAAGCTGGAGTAAGACAAGTGGGACAAGGCACTGGGCCGGAAAATTGGGTGCAGAAGTTGCAATGAATTCTTAATGATGCCCTTTCTGGCAACATATACAGAGAGATGGAGCTGAATACTTTTCTTTTTTGAAGTGTTTCTTATTGAAAAAGTGATGAGGCTTTTGATTCATTTTCCACAGTCGCATTAGCTGGGCACCTGCTTACTTCTGCCTTGCTTAGCAGGAGTCACCAATGCAGCTCCTTGGACTCACTTTAAATGCCATTCCCTTCTCCTTTGAGAATGCATGTTAACTGTCAGTCCCTGAGGAGTCTGGCAATCCCACTGCAAGAGATAGCACATAACCATGTTGCGAGAGACAGACCCTGTTCCAGGAAGCCTGGAAAGGGAAGGGAAGACACAGGTCCCTGTTGAATATTTGTGAAGCCGAGGAATGGAGCAGTTCTGCACCTTGGCACAGTCCCACCAAATCTGTGGCAAAACCTTGAGCTTGTCCATATAGGGGAGCACCAGTGATACTAATCCATCATTTTAACTGTGTATGTGCCCCTGTATAAAAGTATTCAAGTCCTCGTTCCATCTATCTTATCCCTTCACTCCTAAATATTTCACTTTCAGGCTGTTTGAGTTTTCCTTCTCTCACTTTGTGTTTTCTCCAAGGATGAGAAGGGAGATGTACAGGTTGTTCAGTGACATCCCCTGACCACTTGCTAAGGGTAGGCATGGCCTGTGCACTTACAGCTCCAAATTCCCCTGGACTCTGTGTAGCTCTCAGTCTGTCCTCTAGCTCTGCACAATACAGACCTTTGTGTTTTACTTGAAAGTGCATCCAAGACCTGGGGAAAAATGTCAGCCTAACCATTCCATAGCCTGCACTGCTCTCATCCCCTTGAGGGATAATCCTCAGGGCAAATGTCAGCAGCATGACCCTCACACCCTCATCCATTTTCTCATTACCCTTCAGAGCTGTTGGTTTCTGGTTACATTGGAGCCAGCATTATCTGGAGAGGAGGGATTCCTCACTCTGCTCTCTTAGACTTGGTCTGACCCTGAGGACTCATGACTGATTGATCCAAAGCCACTAGGATTTGGATAGGAAATCAAGACCCAGAAATGTTGTTACGTTTGCAGTGGAAACAGAATTCATCTGCCAGGATGCAATTCCATCAGAGATGCTCTTCCAGTCCTTGCAGTCAGTCCAGAAGAGGGCAATGTTGCCTACATGCCTGTCTGTACCATAACACATAGGCACATGCACACACACACAGAGGCAAAGAGATGACAACTGTCCCATATGATTTCCAGCAAAAGGCTCTGTGGCTAAGTCAGTTCTTTCTGTGCTGCTGCAAATTATGGCTTGGATAAGTCACTGAACTTCACGGGGGTGGAAAATAACCATGTCAGCATTAACTAACCACAAGCCAACACAAAATGGTCTTCCTGAGTCTGCAGCCAGCCTAAAACATGAGGCTATGCAAAGCTGCACTGTTCTTCTCCAGGATGGGTTTGCTTAGTAGGCCAACTCACTTTGGCCACCTAGATGACTCCCTTCCTCACACTGTTCACTGCAGCCCCTTCACTGCCCACAGCATAACTGTGAGCCCTTCTCTCACTTCGTGATGACTCCATGGACATCATAGTCCACCAAGCAGGTTCTGGAGGCAGAGGTCAGTGTGGTTTGTTGCAGAGACTGTGATCAGTTGGACACAGTTGTATCCAGAGACACTTGAGAGAACGATGCAGACTCACAGATGCAAGCTCACACCTCATCCCTTCCTAAGACACACACCAGCTCACACAACACTGCAGAGCAGAGGACTGCTAAGGTATCTGACTGGAATCAGCCAAAGGCTATTTAAATACAAGCACTGCTTAACTCTTTCATCACAGATTATTTTGGCCCAGAGGGCTGACTACAGTGCCTCCATGTCCCCCCCAAGCCCAAGAGTCCTCACCTGGCTTCAGGACATCTGTGATGACTTCAGCTCTGACAGTCTTCCCTTCCCAAAGCTTCCCACTCCCCCTAGACAGCATTTGCAAATATATCTTGTCCTTTCTCATCCCTGTGGCAGAGCAACCAAATGAAATGCAAGAACTGTGGAGACAAAATCGAATTTAGCAACAAAATAAACAGCATGGGGGCTCTCTACTGATTAGATTACGCCATTTTATAATTTATGCATTAATTCCTCCCAAGATTTGAGATTCCCTGTCTCAGAAGGCCTGTATCCCTGCACTGCAGAGATGCAGATTCCAGGAACACCACTTTGACTGAAAGATCCAGCTTTCTACCAAGCAGATGAAACTCTGATTAACCCCAGAAGAGCTCCTCTTTGTTATGCACCATTGTCCCTCTCCCAGAGATACACAGCCCAGCACCATTCCTTCCCACACTGAATCATTCTTCCCAAGTCCACCGGAGAACATGTCAGACTGTGAAGCATCTGCCTGTAGTAGCATCTGCTCCTAAGTCTGCTCTGAAATCAATTCAAGCATTAATAAGAGTCGTCAGCTACTGTAGCATATATATCCAGGAGCTGTTATGTCCATATTCACAACTCCCTAGGACCATTTATTCCCGTCCCTTGCTACACGAGGAGCAGAGGTTGTGAGTTCAGCACACCCAAAAAGGAAGCCTAGAAGCCATGGTTAAACCCGTCTATTTAAAGCTGGATCTGCCAGGGCAAAAAAAAGAACCCTTCTGAGCCAAGGAGCCATACCACTCTCAGGAGAAACAAGAAACATTAAGAAACTGGAGGCAGAGAAGAGACAAGACATGCAAGGGAATGGCTGCTATGTCACCATACACAAATTGGCCTAATTATGTGTATAAATGCACCAATAGGCATGGATTTGCTGGCTGCATTCTTGACTTTAAATATTGATGCTTAGGAAGAGCTGAGATCAGGATATCTGCTGGTGGATTAGGCTACAGATTGCTCAGTCATTACCCATGGCTGGATCGCTTGCCTTGGATTACCCTCCTCCAGAGAGCTTTGGGGCTTGAGCCTCTCACCGCCAGCTGAGGATTTGTTGTGTAGGTGATGGGCAAGGAAGCACTGCCCTACACCTAGGCAGTGCTGCATGCATGCCCAGGATGGGGAAGGAACTGAGTGCTGATCAGTGCAGGAGAGGACTGGTATCATGACAGAACTGATGACTCTGTAAAAATGAGGATGTATCCAAAAAAGGCAACAGCCAAGGGCAGAGAAAAAGTGTGTTTGGGGGTAGTGGGTGGCCACTGGGTGCCTGGGAGAATCCTTCTCACGTTCCCTGACCCAGCTCTCTCAATTTCATCCATATCCCATTTTCTCCCATCCCATTCAATTCCATTCCATCCCATTCCATTCCATTCCATTCCATTCCATTCCATTCCATTCCATTCCATTCCATCCCATCCCATCCCACCTCCTCTACCAGACAAGGCTGGAACAAATGGACTCAGAAGCAGCTTTTTGTATTTTTTGCTTGTTGTTTTTTTTAGGTGTTTTTTTTTTTTAAATAAGAAATTTATTGCAAATATAGAAATTGATTTTCTCCATACAGGAATCTCCGAGTTGAGGAAAAACGATTTCGTGCCATTCAGTTTTAGAACAGGAAAAGAAGGAAAGAGAGAAAAAAAAAGAAAGAAAAGAATGAGAAAGAAATACAAATCTAAAAGAAGAAAGAAAAAAAAAGAGAAGAAGAAATAAAAGAACATAACTCCAACTCAAATTTGTCCATACACAACCGAGGGGGTCACAGGGTTGTTACGGAAGGAGGAACACCAAAGAGGCCAGTCCCAGCAGCTGCCTCCCAGGCCCTTCCTTACATTCAAGGCCTGATGCCCCCTTCTCTGTGCCCGGCAGCTGCCCGCCCCTTCCCACCCCCTCACCCCAGATGCTGTGCTTGTGGATGGACCAGCCGTACCAGCCCTGGAGGGTCTGGCCTGACCCGGATGGACTCTCCTTCCTCCTCCCCATGGGGAAGATGGAGAGCAGGCGGTGGGGACAGGCCACCCAAGAGCAAGGCCTCACAGTGGCGGTGGTAATTATGGGGGAGGCAAAGGCCAAGCCGAACGCGAGAGGATGGGGCATACAGAGGGGGATTGTAATGGGGGAAAAGGTGGACTTAAGCCTGGTGGGGCAGGGAGGAGAGGGAGTGGGAGAAGTGGGAGAAGGAGAAGCTGGGCAGAGAATGCCCTATCTCCGCCCAGGGACTGGGGATGGGTTGGGGCAGCCCTGCAGAGAGCTGCCCTGGTGGGATGGTGCAGGGAGAGGTATGGAGACACCTCTCCAGGGCACACACCGGGGGCAGTCAAGGGGATACAGACCAAGAACACCCCTCACAGTACAAGGCCAAAGCTGGAAGGACAGGGTTGGGAGTGCGTGCGTGTGTAGGGGGGACAAAACAGACACTCCCCCTTCCCCTTCCTTCGGGGAAGGACCCAAAACCATCTGTCTCATACAGCGTGGGCAGTGGGTGGCTGAGGTGGGCCAGGCTCTGCCAGCCCTACAAGATACCTCTGTAGCCCAGTGGGGGGTGGCACAGAGTGTTTGTCTCACACTGAGCCACCCTGAGAATGCTCCCTCCTGCTCAGATGGTGGGACAGCAGCAAGCTGGCTCCAGGAAGAGGACATGGCTCCATCAGCTCTTCTTGCCTGCGGCTTGTGCTGAAGGCGGTGGTGGTGGTTGAAGGGACATTCTCTAAACTCCTGGAGACTGTGTGTCCTTCCCGATGCAGCTGAGCTTTCCTGTCAGCAACAAGCATGGCAAATGTGCTTTTGGGGCTCTGGGTCCAGCTCCTGCATGTGTGGCAGCTGCCCACCCTGTAGCACTGAGCTCTGCCCTACAGAGAGGGGTCACAGCTCATCAAGAAGTCCGCCCAGATTTCTTTCTCCAGGCACTGCTGACTAACTCCCCACCTTCTCTCAGAGAGCCTCAACCCCTGTGCTGAACCCTAGTTGTCCCTTTGTCCTCACTAGTCCCTTTACCATCCCATTCTTTCCACTGCGGCCATCTCTTCCCTGGGTCTTTCCAGCCTGTCCCTCTTCTCCACCTTCTCCATTTCCCTCTACCTGTTCCTCCTTGCCTCCCCACTCCTTGGTCTCACCACACCTTCTTCATCCCTGCTGCATCTGCCACTCCTCTCTTTCTCAGCTCCTTTTCCACCTTCCCTCCTGCATCTTCTGCTTCTTCCCTCAAGCCTGCCAGGAAGAGCCTCCTCCAGGAAGGCAGGCTGATTAGCATTGCAAACACACAGAGGCCTCCTCAGCCCGACATAATTCTTCATTTGTCAGTCATGAATATTTCACACCTGCCTCGAGAGGGATTTATTCAGTATGAAAGAGTGGGGAGGGGGAGAAGGGAACATGGCACCACAGCATAAGCTGGGGCAGCAACATCAGGTATGGGAAAGAGCTCTGCCCCATGAGAACAGCACACCTAAGGTCTCACCTTCGCTCTTCTGGATGCAGGATCCAAGCCAAGTCTTCCCCCCAAGGCTTTTCTTGGGGGTAGAGGGCAGGTCTGCACCCAACCTCATTCCTCACCCTTCACAATTTCCAGTGAGGTGAACTAAACCCCTGTTGTCCCTGCCAAGAGTCATCAAGCCAGAAATAAAGTGTGAAAGAGTCTAGTCCTGGTTCTTCCCCAGAAATCCACTTTGCCTTGGGAGAAGGCAGCATTGAGAGATTTGCCAAAGCCAAGCCATAGAGGGCTTAGAAACTTCAGACAGTCTCTCCACACTTTTTCCCAACAAAGAGGCTTTTCAGGTTTCATCATGCCCTGTTCTCTGCCAGGGCCAACCAGGGCAGAGAATGGGTAGGGCAAACTTAATGCAGAGCTCCATGCAATCAATGAGAGGAAGGTGGTGGAAGGTCTTCTAAGTGATTGTAACCAGCTCCACATCAAGTTTTTACCGTATCAGAGGTTTTCCTGCAGCTGAAGCATTCCTTGTTTCCCCCAAGAATAACCTTGCTTGTAGATTTCAGGAAAGAACAACCAGGGCACAGGGATGGCGATTCTCTTATGAGATCTATCTTGATGGGCCTCACTCCTGTTTCTCAACAACTAGGAGAAAAGATGGCCACTAGAAAGAGCAGGCCTTTGGTGTATATAACACATCCCCCTTTATGCACATGACCCTGAAAAGCAGCTGAGAAACCACATTTGGGGCAAGGGGAGGGAGACCCCGGAAAGAAGAAGGAAAAGGTTTTATGGGGCTGATTGGGTTGGGTTCTCTTTGGAGCATGTTCCCTCCCAAACTGATAGGAGCGTCTCATAAAATCACATCAGGGATGAATGAAAGGAGCAGGGAAAACAGGGACAAGGACAGGAGAGACTTTGAGGAAGGAGGTTAAATTCCAACAAACTGGCACATACACAACAGGTGTTTGCTCAGAAAAATACAGTAAAATCATCATGCAAATAGAACGTTAAATCTGCTTTCCTCCGACAGGACTGGCATCACTTTGTGAGCCCTCGTCCCTGGGGAGGGAGCAGGACAAAGAAGAAGGGAGGAGGAAGGAAGGTGAGACACTTTGTTTCCCTTCCTTGCCCTCTTCCTCCCACAGAACAGTCCATCTTGTGCAAACTTCATCCACTGGTTTGGAGTGGGGCGCTACAACTGGGAGAGAAATGGCTTGTCCCCCCTATCCAGCCTCACCCCTACCACAGGAAAAAGAAGGGATTGATGATAGCTGTATCCCTGACCTTTCTTTTCTGCCTCGTTGAGGTGGTAGGGAGAGGGAGCAGAAACCTTTACAGGTCAATGCTCCTCCCTAAAGTATTGATTGAGCAGAACTGTTTACAAGACCATTCAGCAGAGAAGCATAGGGAGGGAAGAGGTGGGGAGAGGAACAAGACTCCATCCCCCCTTGCCTGCCATCCTCCTTTTCCTGTCCAGTTCTGTGCCCTAACCAATAGTCTTTTCTGCTTGGATGGTTACCATGCTGGAAGACCACTGGGCTTGCTCCAAGTGGTAGATGAAGAGGCTCTGCTGTGCCTAAGCACCTCTCACAGCATTTACCTGTCTTGATTTGCTGCATGATCCCAACATGGAGGGACACCTGGCAGCAGTGACGTGACTTCCATTTGTGACTTCCCTTCATCCTTCTGCACACACACACAGACACACATACGTGTGCACTCACACCCTTTCCTCTGGGTTGGACTGGCTCTTACTGTGTGGAGTCAGTACCATGGACACCTCTGGACTCAAGGCAAAATGATGCTTTTACTGTGAGGAAGCAGGCTGACAGTGAAGGAGTCTGAGGCAATGGGATCAGGACCTGGCTTAGGATTGTTACCATCAGCATCCCTACAAAGAAGAAACACCACAGATCTTCACATGTTTTGACTTTTGGGATACCCCCTCTGGTTTTCCGCATCAGGATCTGCATGACATCCTGTATTACTGAAAAGGAGTCTCTGCTGTTCCTCACTTACAGAAGGCAAAATTATATCACCAGTGGCATAGAAACCAGCTGTCACAGCTGGCAGTGCTACTACCTGACAGATAACAGGTAAGTTCTCTGTACACAGCATGTAAATCCCTCCCAGAGAAGCTCCTACACCCTCATTCTTCTCCCAGGCCCCCAAAAACACTGGGGCTTCTGAGGAGCACCTCAAAGAGGAAATAACCACTTAGGGAGGGCCAACACAGGAGAGGTCCTCATCCTTATCTGGATAGAGGTGAACAACTGTCAGGTGTAGGGCAGATCATGGAGAGGAGGCCCGCTGTGCTGCATAAAGACATGCTTAACAGGCAGCACCCCTGCCTGACAACAAAACTTTGGGGGAGATGGTGCCAAGATTGTGCTTTCTTGGGCTGCTTAGAAATGGGACTAGGTAGAGAGGGCAGTATGATGCTCATTTCCAACTCTGTAGCAGATCTTCTATCCAAGGGACAGAGGCTGGGACCTAACAAGTGAAACTGGGGTTTTGCCAAGATGCGAAAGGATCCCTAAGAAAAGTTTGTAACACCTAACTGTGAGGAAGTGGAGAAGTTAGGAAGTGGTATGTTACTCTGACTCTCATGAGGGCCTCTAAGCAGTCAAAGCAACACTGCCATCCACCAGAGGCTGGTGTCCTCTTCTATCCTGGCACACAAAGTGTGGCTGAACACACAGGGAGCTTCTACCAGGGCCATCTTTCTGGGGCTACACCCAGGCCTTATTCTCACATCTCATTTGTTTCCTGTGCCCTTGTCTTCACCCTAGGCTGTCTCCTATCCATGCCAGGATGTCCATGGCCTAAGAGGAAGACTTTCTGTGAGGCCAGCCCAGTTAGGTGAGCAACTGAAATCCTATTCTTCACATCCACGAGGAAGTGAGGAGGTTGGGTGATGCTCTTCTCATGCACACCTACCCACCCACCCCAGAGCCCATGGTGCAAGTCAGTTGGGAAGAGCTGCAGAAACTTCATGTAGAACTTGTTCTGCTGAGCTCCTCTCCAGGTCCCTTCCTCATAGTAAGGGGGACAGGAACAGAGAGTATTAAACTTACTGCACAAGGGTAGCCTGAGCATAGGTGTGTATGGTGGGGAGCATCTCTGACCTGTGACATTCATGGAGAGATGGGAACCTTTTATATCTCTGAGAGACCAGACCTTCCTACATTTTCCTCCACCACTCCTTGAGGAGCTGGCTTGCCATAATGAAGAGAACATTCATAACCCTTTCCCCCCCACCAACTAGCAGAAAACTGGCTCTGAGCAGGCCTGGAGAATACCTGTCACTCCAGAATTGCTGGTGTTCAACAGCAGCAACATGGCATGAGAAGGGAAGGAGGAGGAACGCAAGGGCACAGAGCCTATTATATGGTAGGTCCTACCTCCCTTGTTCCTTCACATGTCCTCTCCTTCCTCTGAGGAGGATGGAGGCTCATGAAGTACCTAGACAGAAAGTGCAAGCCTAGGGAGCCTTAATAGAGAGGGGTAGGAAAGGTCAAAGGAAAAAGAGTGAGAGAACTTCTTCCAAAAAATTCCACCTGTCTTGGAAGGGGATAGGAGAGAGAGAAAAGCCTCCACTGCTGAAGAAAATGAGGGAAAAGTTAGTGATGGAAGATTTGGAATAGCAGGCGTATCAGGTAGACAGGGAAGCTTTCTAAACCAAAGTCCTGCCCTCCTACCCAAAAGCAAAAATCAGCCCACAACAGGAACAGAAAGAGGAATAGTTCTCAGCTGAGTTTCGTGCCCAGTGAGTGTCCATTCCTGCCCTTCCCCTGCCACCACCACCACCCACTCCCAGGCCATTCCCACCCACTCACACTCCAGTATTGTTACCACAGTGTTAGAGCAGGACGCTCCTCCCAACCATCTGCAGGCAGAACAATGGTCCCCATAACACAGTAGAGACAATTTGGCGTGTGTGTGTGTGTGTGTGTCTGTGTGTGAGAGAGTTTTCTGTTGTTCTTGTAAACTTTAAGAAAAGATTTTGTCAGTTTTGTATTTGTCAGGAGTATTTTGCTGTTGGTTTATTTTTCACAGTCAAGTGGCTTATTTTTCTGCTTCTTGGAGGGGGGTCTTGGTTTGTATTGTTTCCTTGTGAGGAAGAGTCACAGCTTCTGCTGAGCAGAGACTCCTTTCCAGTAATCCAGGATGTCATGCAGATCCTCGTCCTTGGCAAATTGAACCTTCTTCCTCAGGGCATGCCCAGCTGCCATGTAAACCTCCTCCCTGTGATGCTTCTTGTAAGGCCGGAATCGTTCCCAGATCTTGTGGGTGCTCTCTGATGAATACTCAGGGCTGGAGGAGTAGCCTGAGAAGTAGTGTCTGGGGGAGAGCTGGGAGTATGTTGAGTCTCGCTTGGACCGGGACAGTGGCTTGAGAAATGACACCCGCTGGCTCAGGGTGTCAGCACTTTCCTCATAGTACAGGGCCGGGAAGGAGTGACGGTGCTCACTACAATGGTAAGAAGGCTTGACCTCCAAGTGGTGGATGGCGCTCGGAGACACCAAGGGAAGACGATCCAAAGGGCTGTTAAGTGGGCTGCCCTTCTCAATGTATTTGGAGTCAGACTTGCTGAGTGGTGGGTGGTCAGGCACATCCAAGCTGAAGACCTTAGCGCTCTTGATGGAACCACTAGAGGAGACACTGCAGGTCTTTCTGGCCACAGCAGCATCAGCACTAAGCTGGCGCTGCAAGGGGTGGTGGGAGCTTTCCTTGTAGGGTGGGGAAAGGAAGCTGGGCCGCTCTAGCCCACTTGAGGAACCAGCTGGGATGGACTGGCACTCAAAGGCCATATCTGAGTCAACACCAGTCCCGCCACCCAGGAAGGACGCTGTGTCCAGCTTGAGGGCATCAATACAGTTGTTGATGATCTGGTTGACCTTGTCTACCTCCTTGGCTATAGTAGAGATCTCAGCAGCTGAGCCTTGCCCATTGTCAAGCTCCCTCAGGTCCTCATCCCGCTGGGCTCTCTCCAGCCCATCCCCACCACCAGTTCGCACCTCAATGTAGTTACCTTTAGTAGTGACTTTAGGAGTCTCCATCCCAGTTTCTATTGACTTTGATGGGGGCAACTTCTCCCCAATCATGGAAGGGATGGAGGACATCCGTGAGACAGGAATGACAGGTGGCTCACCCAGCTTCTGGGAAGGATGGACCATGGTACTGGTATCAATATCTGATCCATAACGCATTTCCAGAATGGTCTTTTTGACATTGAGGGACTTCTGTTTCTCCTCCTGCATCCTCCGCTTTCGCAGGCAGTAGTACACCACCCCCAGGACAATGACCATCCCAAAGAGGCAACCCAGGGTGGTCATGATATAGTGTGTGGTGGTGGAAGTACTGGAAATAGGGTCCTCCCTGCCTTTGCTTCGGGTTGCAAAGGTCAGACAAGTATGGTTGTAACGCCTGTTGTTGCGGATAGAGGCCACACAGAATGTATAATCAGTGTGGGCCTTCAGCTTGTTGACAGTGACATATTCCTTCTTGCTCTTCAGTGTTGCTATGTCAGAAACGTAGCTGTTGTTGTATTGGACCAGCACATACATCTTACTGTAGGGCATGGGGATGGTTACCATCAGAATGGCTGAAGTGATGGTGACGTCATGTAGCTTGATGCTGGGACTGAATGAGGAGTCAGTGGTGGAGGAGGCTGGAGGCTTGACGGAGAGGAAGTCCCCAGGGCTGATGGCTGAGCCCTCATCCAGGTCTCGCTGGGAGTCAGGGGTATAAGGAGTGGGGTTGACCCTGGAGAGGGAGGGAATGGTGCCACCTCTGCACATGGACTGGAAGATGGTGATGGCATTGCGGTTGTGGTGAGGACGGGGTACCAGAAGCGGATACCCAGCAAACTCCCGTGGAGTCTCACACTGGAGGCGGTCATAGTTCTTGGTGACATTATTGAAGAGAGCCAGCCAGTTAAGAAAGCTGTAGAGGCTACAGTCACAGTTGAAGGGGTTGCCAGCCAGCTCACACACCATCAGATTGCTCAAGCTGGTGAAAGTGTTCCCCTCCAGACGGCTGAGACGGTTAGATGACAGGTCAATGCTAATCAAGCTGGGGCATTCATTGAAGGCAGTAGGGGTGACCAGCTCAATTAGGTTGTGCTGCACAAAGAGGAACTGGAGACGGGCCATGCCCCGCAACATGCCCTCTGTCAGGTTAGTGAGTTTGTTGTAGCCCAGCTGTAAAACCTGGAGGTTTGACTGGCCCATGAAAGCCCCATCCTCAATGTAGGAGATCTCATTCTTGGTCAGGTTCAAATCAGTCAGGTTGCCGAAGCGGTTGAGGGAGGAGTACAGCACCACTTTGAGCTTATTCTCGTTCAGACGCAAGTCATGCACCGTACTGTTGATATGTTGGGGGATTGTCTCATATGGAGGCTGGTTCTGGCTGCAGATAGCCAGCCACACGTAACCTTTGTCCCCCTCAATCAGCCAGCAGTCACCTCGTACAGTGCCAGGGGAAAACAAGAAGAGCAGAGCAGCTGCCCACAACCCCAGGCACAGCATGGTCTGCAGTGGTGCCCTCATCAGGACGGGGAAAAAATCCCCAACAAAAAACTCAGGACCACAGCAAAAGGAAACTAAGGGGCAGTAGCTGGGGTTTAGCAATGGAAGGGCATGAGCACCCCAGTCCTATCGGGTGTCATCACCATTATTTCTTCTTGCCCTCTGGGTCAAGCCACGAGCATGGAGGAGAGGGAACACGTGCAGTCTTCTTCCAGAACACCCAAAATCTATGACCATGGATGTTTGGTCTGGAAGGGAACTACTTTGTGCTTCTTTTCTAAACAAAATTTCAGGCCGAGGATAATAAATCTTCTTTGATGCTCATGAGCAACTCACATACCTTTTCCACTTTTCTCCCTCCCACCCACCCCCCACCCACACTGAACCCACCCCAAAACAAACACAAGTCCTCCCTCTGCTCTAGTCTTCCCCCGCCCCTTCACAGTGTGATCTGGATGAACAAGGCAGGGCTGCCTCTTCTGTTGCTCACGCTCCTTCAGTTTCTATTCCTTCTCTTCCTTCTTTACCGGGTTCCCTTTGAGAAGCTTCAGAGCTTCAGATCAAACATGTCGAAAACAAAAATAAAGAGAGGGAAAGAGCAAGTGTGCACGAGAAAGATCCATCTGTCACTGGAATCTGGAAAAGAAAACACAGAGGAGACAAGGGGAGACATCAGTTGGAAGGGTCTTTGAGATAAGAGTATAGACAGCAGTGTTTCATGAGAAAAGGAATATGAGGAAAAGACAGCATTATGGGGGGTGCAAATAGGAGAGGAGTCGTAGTGCCTGTCACGCTGATAAGACTTTGAGAAGGGAACCCTCACGATGTGTAATCTCATATCAGGGGTATGCAGAAGGGTATCTGGGCTTCCTTAAGTAGTGTGATCACAGCCAGAGACCTGGGAGAAGGCAGTGGCGTGGGAGTAGAAGGGGAAGGGAAGGGAGAGTGGGAAATATAAAACTGTTATTGCGGGGGCTCAAAACTCCTAGTGTAAACAAAGGCAAGCCCTAAGCACAGCCAAAGCCATGAATTTTCATCTGCCTCAAAATGGTTTACACAGAATGCGTGAAGCAGGGAAAATGAAGACAAGCTTCCCCCCTCAAAAAAAACCAATTTTTTTTTTGCTTGCTTCCTCCCTTGATGCAAGAGGGATAAATAATTCAAGCCACGTGTAAACACTTCTGCTCTAAAAATTGTTCCTGCCTCTTGGTGCATGAACAATGCTGTTGAGGTAAACCAGTCTGTCTTGAGCATGATGGGGAGGTGGGGAGCAGGGTGCAGGCAGTGTGTCAAATAGCAGCCTTCAGTCTCTCACTCAACAGTGCCAGCAGTCCTGAGCTGAAGCACATCACCCACCTAACCCCCACCACGGAGAGGGGCACAGCTTACACCTTCATACTTTACCACCTCCTTGGGGGCTATGAACACTGCCCCTTTGTGAGAAAACACACCTTGCAGGCAAAGTGACATTTGCTTGTTAAACCACAAAAAATGTATTTCTGGACTCTGGGCAAACTCCTGGTTCTGACTGGAAAGGGCAGCCTGGACCACCTTTCTTTCCAGCTACATCTTCAACCCTTCTCCCACTGTGCTGAAACAGGAGATTGGCAGAGGTGTCCTCAGGCAGTGCAAAGGAAATAATTTCATGCAGCAGATAAAACATGTGAGCACTGTGCTGTTTTTCTTTTCTTTTTAATTTTGAGGAGAAAGAAAACAAAAAAATAAAAAAAAGAGAAAAAGATTCTTGGCTAATGAAAAATAAAGATCTCCTCTTGCCCTCTTTATTTTGGGGCGACGCTGCTCACTAAAGATATTGCCGAAGCTTTTGCTGCAAAAGCTGAACCAATTTCTAGCACAGAGACACAAAGGGCAGAAATAAAATGAGGGAAGATAAATGAAGGAGGAGTGAACCCTTGAGGAACAAGGCTTACGTCCGTGGAGAAATCTGAGCTGATTTGGGTCTGTGGAATTACCAGGCCAGCTGGATTAAGGGATCAGAGATAGTGTCACAGAGAAACACTTAAATATTCAATAATCCAAAAAGTAAAGCCAAGATGGAGAAGGGGAGGGGGAGAAGAGCTAGACCAATGGAAAAGACAGAGAGAAAGCCTCTGTTCCCCACAGCTGAGGCCATCAAACTCATGTCACTTATGGTTGTCATATGAGGGCCTCCAGCTGCTGCCCCAGCTTTGCCTCAGCTTGCACTGAAGCAGAAGGCAGAGGTTTCTACAGTCTGTTGCTTTGTTTCTCAGCCTTGCAATCCAATGAGAAATAATTTCCTGACACTGTTTACCCAGATGCATCAAATAGGAGGCACATCTAAAGGTTGGGGCCCACAGGCCTCTGATATTCCTCAACACCAGTCCCCCGCCTTGTCTCACCGTTTCCAGAGGTGACCCTGTGCAGATACGATCCTCCCCACCATCTCTGTCCCTTTACCTTCCTCTCTACTGCTCCTTCAAGTGGCCTGATCTCTTCCACTGAACAAAGGAGTGGCAGATACCATCATGCTTGTTGCATATTGGTGCCCAAAGTATGTCCACCCTAAGAAGAGGCCAGGAGCAGCCCCTGAGCTAGCAGTAGAAAGTTTTGCCCTAATTTTAGCCAGCATCCTTCTCTGAGCGTCATGCTTTGGCCTGCCTGTCTCACCTCACCAAATATTCTGCACAATATCCAAGTCCATACAGGAACATTCCAGCTCCCTTACATTGACCCCTTCTAGTAGTGCAGGCTGCTCCAAATGGTGTGCTGAAGTCACCATTGCCTGCTGTAGCTTGTTCATGGTGCACAGAGAGAAACTCTGAGGCCAGGACCATGTTTCTGTGCAGCAGCCCCAGCAATTGCTGAGGGCCACCCCATCCCTCCCAAGGAGCTGCACTCAGGCAGAACAGAGAGGGTTTGGAAGGGCAGATGTCCTACTAGCCTGCAAAGGGAAAAGGTGGGTGGATTAGGGGGTGGATGGATATGAAGGTGGTGTTTATCCTTGCTATGTGTCAAAAACAAGGGAACCATGCAGAGACCTACTTCCTGTCCACTTCCCACCTTGGCTGTGTAGCCTTGCCTCACCCACAGGCCAAAGGAAGGCTCAAGCCATTCCTCAAGCCAGAATCCTTGGTCCCCTTGGGTGCCCCAGTTAGGGGAGTTTCTGTGAGAAACACACAGACCCTGACATTCTTCCCCCAAGAGCTCCTGTCTCCCTGCTGTCACGCTGGTTTCAAGGGCCCTGAGGCCAGCCCAATCTGTGGCCTACTGCACCCCTGCCCATGGCCCAGGACCCCGTTTCAGGTCAATGCCAGCTCCCCCACAGCCATGCCCTGCCCTTTAGGGAGCAGCTGCTTCCTGACTCTGGCATTTTATAGTCAAAGGGAAGCCAGGAATGGGGGGCAGCACCATGCCCTCCCTCAACTGTCTACAGCCAAATGAACATAAATCATATAGCATTGGAGTCCAACAGCACAAGGAAGCAACACTCTGTCCTTTTTGCTGGCTAGAAAGGTGCTGACAGTGGAGTTGGCTGTTTCCCTCCCTTGCTTCTCAGGCAACAGAGCAAGAAGGTGCAGGGATGGAGGGTGGGCAGGGAAAGCAAGGATGAACAACTCCATCACAGAGGAGAGCCAAGGAAGGGGATAAAAGAGCTGTGGAGAACTTATGGGCAAGGGGAAAAGTTGGGACATGGGATATGTTTTACAGGGAAGGTACAAGATCACCACTTCCATGTGCTGGGCTTACCCAGATGTAGGGTTCCAACACTCTTCAGTGTCACCCAAGGTGGGTTTTACAATGAGCCCTTGGCTTCTGGCTATCCTCATGTACTTGAGAGCATCAAGGAGCAGTCGTGACATTGCACTCACGAATGGCTGTACTCTCCTAGGCTGGCACAAAGTCAACCCATCAGCTCTGAGCTCCCCATGATTTTATTCTCTGCTCTTGTTTATTGTCCACTACTGGCTGCCTCAGTGTTTCTTTGCACCACTTTGTTTGGAGAAAACCATCAGGCCACAGGGAGGGATGGTTCCACTCTTCAGAGGAAAGAGAAGGGAAGGTGAAACAGAGGGAGAAGAGCCCAAAATCTGAGTCAGAAGCTGGGTGTCCTGGTGGCCACAGACATCCCTTTGACTTGGACATCAAGGTGGCACAAGGGGTGACACAGGATTAGAGTCACTAGTTAGATGGCCAGGTTGAGGACAGGTTAAAATGCAAACAGTGAAAATATGGACAGGCAGGATAGGACGGACAGAGGCAAGATGGGGCCCAAGGGGGTGGAAGGGCCAAAACTGAGAGAGAATACAAAGAAACCAGAAAAGCTACATACAGCAGCAATTTGGGCCTGAAATTCTGACCTTGTCAACCTTGTCCTCCTGGGGCTCCATGCACTGGAAAAACCTGCACTTAGTTCTACCATTGCTTAAACGGTGCTAAGAGCCTCCCATTACAAATGCATGCATTAAAAACTTGCCAAACACTCTTGACTCCTCTGGGGACACCCCGAAACCAGGCCAAAGCTCCTGCTGCTTTCTTAAGCTTCATGCTGCAGCTGAGCATCATCCCTCTTCCCAGCTCAGTGTGCTGCCTGCTCCTGGCAGGCCTCAAGGCACAAACATCATCTCCAAGGGGCTCTGCCTCTCCTTCTTGGCTTTAAGATCCTTCTAGGAGTCCTCTAACTATTTTCTGGAAGAGTGGCCTTTCCCAGTGGTGCTTGACACTGGGATTTGGTGCTGTACTTGAAGGGACCCTCTGTACCTGCTGGGTAGTTTCTGTAATACACAGTGGTCTGAGCATCACTGTAGACACTTTAAATCACCACACAGAGATTCTCTTTGCTTTTGCACCTGGCTGTAGTGCAAGCATAGTGCCATGGGAGAAGCTTGCAGCACTGCTCTGACACTTACACAACAGCAGCCCCTTCTCTCTCAGCCCTGCTGCTTCCAGAGATGTTCCTGTTTATTGAAGGAGTTACCATCAAGTCATGGAGTAAAGAACCTGTGACTGAGCCCAGAGGTGCTTCAGAAGCCCTGGGAAGTCTGAGACCAAGAGAAGAGGGAGAAGAAGGCAAGATGACCTGTGGTTTTGTGGCACGGAAGACATTTGTGAGAGAGAAAGAGAGACAGAGAATACCTTCTACTGCAGACTCTCTGATGTTCACCAAGGGTTGAGCTCACACAATACTCTTTCCTTTAATGGTAAAGGTTGCTCTTTCATGTTCGCTATTCTCTAATTTATCCCCCTATTTCATGGAACACATAAGATCTCAACATCTCTGAGTTCCATCCCAATGTCACGTTTGTTTAAAATTGGCCCTGTAGCTTCAAAAATCCAGGTCACAGGAGCTGTAGAGCCACACTAGAAAGCCA